AGTAGGTGTAAGTTAAAAAAAAAAAAATGGCATAACTGCATAATCTTTTTATGCATGTTAATGGACCTAATTTTTTTAATTGATTATAATTAATCTTGCTCAATGTTGTTCTTTGGACCTTACATATATATAGGTATTGTGAAACTCCATTTTCGCACTAAATCAACTGTTAGTGAAAGACATATGACAATATTATCAGGAAGTTCATCTAATGCTTCAAATCATATGCCCCTCAATGATATTACAAATGGCATTTCAATTATATCTTGGTTTATATTTCTCACCTTCAATTTTTTGATATTTTATTGCGTACTTACATGTTTTTTGAATTTGTATTATTATAAATTAATAGGTCAGCGTAAACACCCTGATAAAAACTCGAAAAATTCTAGTGTACTTGGAACAAAAAGCATCGCGATAGACATCTTGAGTGACGACGAGAATGAAAATAGAACTTTTACTACACCAAAAAAATTTTTGCCGCTGAACCCCTACACATCATGTCCTACACAAAGTGAAAGTGTTGTTGTCTATCTAACCTAGGATGATCCCATCATGTGGTGACGATGACTCACCGCCAAATCAAATAAATAACGTTGTGCGCAAAGAAGTTTTCAATAATTTATGAATTTTGTAAATTGCGCCCAACGTGTCTACTTTTGTTAAAAATATAACAAGTTCATTAAATTTGATGTTTACTATTAATTAATTTTTAGAAATATATCATCCTGTGCATCGCACGGGTAATTACTAATAATTTTTAAACCGACTAGATGATCCAATAATGAGATTATATTTGTCCTCATTCGGATGCGTGAAGCTTGTGAATGACACAGCTTATGGAGTCATTCACACTTATTCACAACTAGTGTGTTGCCACGTGTCATATAATAAATACATTTTAAACAAGTGTCAATATATTACGTGATGGATGACTCCATATAATTTTTGTTGGACTACATTACATAATAGGACAAAATATATGCAGAGTTTGACTTTTGCAACTTAAAGTTTTTTTCTTGTAAAAAATGCAATCGGAACCCAAGAGCGCTTGGATGAGATGGTTTGGGTCTCTTCCAGCTTAACCAGTGGTCTCGAGTTCGAGCCCTGGGAATGCAGCAGTGTTAAAACTCTTGAGGGAGAGCTTTGCCGCCCTTGTGGTCCTACCCGGCTCGATTCCGGATTAGTCGGTTCCCTTATGGATCCGGAAACCGGAAGGTCCCTGTACCAAAAAAAAAAAAAATGCAATCGGAACTCTATGAATATGGAAAAAAAATGCAACTGAAACTTGATGAACATTCATAATTTGCAAGCTGAGTTTCGAGAGCAAGATTTGCTCTGGATTTTGCAACCTTATATCACATCATTTAACAGAATGCAGAAATAAAACATAGCTTTAACTGAAAACATAACACAAACCATTCAAAGTCTCCAAAACAAACAAAAGTCCAGATAAAGCATGCATGGATCCAGGTATTTACAACACAGATGACTCCTTTCTCAGGACCACACTGTTCATTATATTTATTTATCAAACACTGTCGATCGATCGATGTTCTATAAAACAAAATAAAATTAAAATCAACTCAGACATTCCATTCTGAGCTTTGCCTTCAAAGAATATTTACAAAAATCACTACTTTCCCATATAGCTTCCAAATCTAAAGGTCTACTCAAAACAAACCTGCAAATCTTACCTCAACATTCTCAAAACTTGCAAGAAGTTCCGAGCCTCTGCCTCTGCTTCTGACCGAAACTCACCAACTTCCGCTTCTCAAAAACCGGACCAACCAGCTCCTGAAACTTCTCCACGAAAAGGGTCCACTCGTCTTCGTTCATATCAGCCAGCTTCACAAAACTCGCGCTTGCCAGGAGCTGTTCGTTCGCGCTCGTGTGGCTGGCTGATGAGTTCGTGAGATACCCGTTATTCACCTTTGCAACAGAAAACAACTTTCCTGATTTTTGAGTCCTCTCGACTAAGCCAGTATTTTTCAAAGACACAGAAAGCTTCGAAACTGCATTTCGACTCTTAACCACGGTACGACTGCTAGTCAGCCCGTTTTCCTCATCTTCTACTTCTTCACTATCATCCTCCTCTTCAACAGTCTCCTCTAGTCGGGAAAGTGGAGTAAAACGCCCATTCACACTCCCCAATCCAATCTGGAAGGGCATTGACGTAAAAGACTCATCGGTAACCATTTTCGGTGCCAACTCATCATACCCATTGATATTATCCTCACAACAGTCTATGTCAAACTGAAAATTGTCATCATCAAATTCAGCTCCAACCTTGTTAGTAGAATATAAAATCTCCTCAGCAGCAAGCCTTCGCGCCTCGAGGCATATAACCTCGAGCTCGCTCGGTTCCTCCTCCCCACTTTTAAACTCCCGGCTCATCATCTCCCCAATCTCAGCAAGACAAAGCCCGTTAGACGCGGCTTCTTTCAAGAAAACAGTGCAGAGGAACAATACACGCAGACAAGCGTCTCTAATCATGGGGAGCTCGCTCCTCAGCATATCCGAGTCGCGAGCCGGGTCGAGATTTTTTATGTATTCAAGCTCATCGTCCGAGAACGGGATTGAAGCTTGGGGCCAGTGGATCCACTCGAAGTAAGGGTCCTCTAAGGTCTCGGGCAGGCAGAGCCCGTGATCGATCGGGATAAGCTCAAATTGACCAAACTGCCCTTCCCCGTTGAGCTTCCTGACCAAAAGATTCCCTGCATGCCTATCCGTGTTAAGAATCCTTACGTCGAGAATCCCGATCCGGTGTACAGATGAAACGGGAAAACACGATGTCCCGTAATCACTCGCATCGAAACCGTGCGGGATGAACTGCTGAAAAGATGCAATCTTGCTAAAGACTCGATTTCTGTTTTGCGGCTTGGAATTCTTCCCGTTCAAGCCGTCATTCAAGTTGAAGATCGGGTGAGTGATCTTCACGAGGGCAGTGGGAGGGACATTCGCGAAATGGTCATAATCGAGAAGATAAGCAGCCACCTCACGAAACCCAGTCTCCCCGACCCTAACTGAAGGTTTCAAGCCGGGCTGTCCG